TGTGGTGCTTAGAATCGAACCTAGTGCTTCACACGAGTGAAGCAGGCACTCTACCACTGAGCTACAGCCCCAGCCCACTTTTTCTTGATTTTAATGTGTGTCCATAGAGATCTTCTCATCTTTACCTTATTTTACTAAAGACTTTCAAAGGGTATAAGTATAAAATATTATGTACTGCTCTAATTTTCCCAATAATTCGATTCTATAAGTGGGCTATTTAAAATAATTTAAAAGATGACTATATAACAACAAAATCCCACCCATTATGTACAACTATAATGCACCAATAAAAAATGAAAAAAAAAATTAAAAAGAAAAAATTTAAAGTCCTATTTAAACTTTACATTTTTATTGTGTATTTTATGCACAGCATTTGAAAATTAATTTTTAAATAAAATCCACTATGATAAAGTATAAAGCATTGTACTAACTATACAATTAAAATATTGATTCTACTGACACCTTGATTCATCCTTAATTAAGTAATCTCTATCACTTTGAAATCTGATGATGTTGCCAGGGGTCATGGTACATGCCTGTAATCTYAGCAACTTGGAAGGTTCAGGCAGGAGGATCACAATTTTGAGGTCAGCCTCACCAACTTAGCAAAACCTGTCTCAAAATAAAAAATAAAGAGGGCTGGGGATGTAGCTTAGAGGTAAAGCAGCCCTAGGTTCAATCTCCAATACCCTCCCAAATTTTTTTCATCATGTTGATTTTATTTCTTAGTAGTAAACTACATAAATAATTAATGATCTTTTAAGCTCTTTCAAAATTCAAATAGAAATATATTTTTCCACTTCTCAAGTTACACTTACTTACCAGGACCCATGGGACTGAACTATAGCTCTCTGTCACACATATCACTTAATCCTCACAGTAATCCTATAAAGAGGGTACTGTCAGCCTTATTCTATAGAAGAATAAATTAAGGCTTAAAGAAAGTAAGAAACTTGTTCAAGGTAATATAAGTTATAAGACTGGAACCCATGTGTGACAGATTATAAAATCCAGTTCTAATTTACTATAGATCAAAAGGAAAAGACTATGTTTCAAAAACTCTTCAGTTCTTAAATGTTTAATAAATTAATATTACTTTTGAAAATTAAGTATGTATACTATTTCTATTCAATATTGGCAACTATGTATTTTCCAATGATCATTATATATAAAGAATGTTGCTCTATAAAATGCAGTCAAATACACATAAGTACTATTAAAAATCAATGTAAAATTGTGGATATGAATAATGTGCAATAAAAAATGAAATGGAAAAAAGTGTACTAAATTAGAACCAAAATTATTTCTATCGAAAATTTCAAAGAATTCCAAAATAGATTCATTCTCTAAAACAATTAAAGCTCCCAAATTTTAAGTCACACAGAAATTCTAAGGCCTGGTTTTTGTTTTTATTTTCCTCAAAAGGACAAATGGAAATGTATAATTACTGATTACCTTCTATGTGACAGACACTGAGCTAATTGCTTTTGATAATTTTTTCTCATAGAACCTGTTCTATTTCCCTGGGAGGGGAAGAGTTTTTACTACAATAACACAGAAGAATAAACTCAAAATCCAAATGTCACATTGCTCTAAGAGTTATATAAGGATTCCTGTCACATCTGACTCCACAAACAGCACCATATCATGCAATTAATAATCATAAAACACACACACACACACACACACACACACACCACCCTTTAGCAACAAAAGACCTTTAGCTAAAATCCAGGCAATTATCTTTTAATGAAGCTTTGTGCCTTGCTATCAGCCAGTCTGTGGCCAGCACACAACAGGTGTCAAATGAAAGTTTTAGTGAGTGCAATGAACAGTGGTAGCCTTGCAACAAAGGAATCATCTCCATTCGTTCTGCCTTTCTTAAGAAGTCAATATAAAACTAGCACTTATAAGGCAACATATACAATTATTTCCTTAAAGAAGACACTGAATCATGGGAAGGAAAGGGAAATACTAGGGAATGAGATTGATCAAATTATGTGCAGGTACCAATATGGCATAGTGAATCCCTCTATTATGCATAATTATAATGCATCAATAAAAATAAATTTTAAAAAGTAAAAAAAGAAGAAGAAAACATTGAATCAGGAATTGGAATAAATGCATCAATTTTTTTAATTTTTATTTTTTGGTGGTGCTAGGGTTTGAAYACAGGGCCTCTCTCATGTTAGCCACATCCCCATCCTTTACCAATGTTCTTAAAAGGCATGGCACTGGATGAGACACAGAAGCCCTAAGCAAAGATCTAGCTCATTCTAGTTCATTCCACTCAATTACAACATTTTTCTGACCCTGCCTTGTAACAGTTAATTAAACTTGTCCTGCTTCCAGAATTAGCTAAACACTAGTAGAAACCTTGGTCGTTTTTTGTGCTTCTTGGAACACTTAGACAGAATCTGACACTTCAGATTAATAGCTACAATTTTATAAATGTTTTATTTTACTTCAATACTTATTCAAATGCATTTATCCTAAAAGTTTTACAAGGTAAAGTATAATAACTATCTGCATTTTACAGACAATGACAACAAGGTCCATTAAGTGCCAAGATAAGTGGTCAGATATCCTTCTGTAACACCACAGTGACTACAGGAGGCTCTAATAAATGTTTGTTGAAACTGAATTGTTCATCAGCTGTTTCTCAAAATTTCACTTTTCTTTCTAACATTATAACACCATTATCTGTTGCTATGAGAAATTACTTTTATTGCCACTTAAGACTGATAGCTTTGCTAAAAAATTTATGTTTTCATTCAGCTAGGTATGGTTAGTTAACTTTTCTTTTCCTGGCACCAGAATTGAACCCAGGTGCACTTAACCACTGAGCAGCATGCCCAGCATTTTTTTTTAAATAGGGTTTTGCTGAGTTGCTGAGGCTAGCTTTGAACTTAGAATCCTCGTGCCTCAGCCTTACAGCATGTGACACTATGCCCAGCAATGTTAGTTAACTTTTTTTTTTTTTTTGTACCAGGTATTGAATCCAGGGGTACTTAACCATTGAACTACATCCCCAGTCCTTTTTTTATATTTTATTTGGAGACAGGGTCTCACTGAGTTGCTTAGGGCCTCACTAAATTGCTGAGGCTGTCTGAATTCCCAATCCTCTGCCTCAGCCTCTCAAACTGCTGGGATTACAGGCATGTGTCACCACACCCTGCAAGGTTAGTTAACTTTTAACAGTGATTTCCAAACTTTAATAAGAATGGAGACACTTAATAAGAATTAAGATTTTTAGCTGGCAAGAGGACAGACAACCCAGCTACCACAGTAGGCTGAGGCAGGAGGAACACAAATTTGATGCCAAATAGGACGATTTAGCAAGACCCTGTCTCAAAATCTAAAAACAAACAAAAAAATTTAAGGCTAGAAATGTAGTTCAGTGGCAAAGTACTTGCCTAGCATATGTGAACCCTGGGTTCCAGCACACACACACACACAAAAAAAAAAAAAAAAAGAAAGACTTTTGAGCCACTATTATCTCTAGGATTCTAATTCAAGCTGCCAGCAATCAGTATTATAAATAATATTAATAATCAGCTGATTATTTTTTAAATCAGCACTCTCAACTGATTCTAATGTTGGTCTTTAAAAACCCTTCGAGAAATGAATAAGACTTTTAAAAACCTATATTAATCTAACAAAAATTTTAATCCAGCCAATTTTTACAGTTAGAAATATTTAAACAAAATCTGACAAAAACAATACAAGGAGCCCAGTGCTGTATTACTGGCTACTCCAGAAGCTGAGGCAGGTGAATCACTGGAGTTCATGAATTTGAGACCTGCCTGGGCAACACAGCAAGATCTATGTGAGAAAAACAACTCCGTGTACAACATATAACAGCAAATAAACAATGCAGGTGTACAACATATAACAGCAGTTCCTCAAAAATGTTTACCATGCCTAACCTCCCTAGACCTTAGGAGCTTCTCATGCTGCAGAAGAGGTTAAATTATGGCTTTTCTAGGTATCTAGAAGATTACCCCATATTATTGTTTTAGTTGATAAATTCAACTATGGTCCCAATGTAATTTAGTAAGACATTTTCATGGGTATTTATACAAACACCTGGATATAAAGTGAATCAGTCAGCTAATCTTTGAACCTAATACAAAGAAATAATAATTTTAAAAATCACCATTTTAAACTCTGAATGACCAACAAAAACATACTATGAGATTAAGAATATGTTTTCCCTAGTGATTAAATATTTATTGAGTCGACATACTACCTTTCTGCACTTTACCAATTTTCTACTATAAGGATTTTTTTTCATGATTACAGTTTTAGAAGTACCTACAAATCTTACACCTTCACATACTTTAGAAAACAAGAATAACCTGTCATCACATTTACCATAAATCATAAGTACCCAAATATCTGACTTACTGTACCAAACTGCAATCACTAACTTTTTTTTATATCAATACCAGAACAAATCACGTTACTTCTAAAATTTAGACTACATTCATTTCCATCGGGGTTCCTGCTATTAGGACAGTTGGCACGACTTAAAATCCTCTTTCCATCCGTCCTCTGGATCTATTTAGAGGGAACATTTTTGTACCGAGGACTGAAGCACTAAAATATTTCCTCTCTTCTTGGAGGTGGAAAAGACACAAATTTCTGTAAAATAAATTTTTATAACGGTAGTGTTTATCTAGGAAACAGCAACGCAAAGACGGGATGGGGCTTTCTCCAAGGCAGATCACGCTTAGAGATAAGATGTAATATAAGGAGTGGACGAGCTACCCGCAGGTGATGAAATTTCACCTCAAATAAGTCGCAAAAGGCTTTTCTCTAGGAAGTCGAATCCGTGAATGACACTCCAGGGCTCTAAGGGTCCCGAACTCTTAGCACCTCAATCCTCACCCTACCCGGCCTCCCCCCCCCCCACCCCCCGGACTCTGCAGGACTCAGTACAGGGCGATGGAAAGCTAAGGTTGTTTGCAAACAGGCGTCCTCTGCCTCCCTCCGGGATGTACACGCAGGGCCCGGGTAAGAAGCCGCTCTCGGCCCCGCCCGGAGCAAACCCAAAGGGCACCGGTGCAGCCGTCAGCCACCTCTTCACACACCGGGCCGCACCGGAACCGAGGCCCGGGAGAGCGTTCTCTCGGGGCCTAGGGGCCCCCCACGGACCTCGACCTCCCGGGGGACGCGGCGAGGAAGGGCTGAGGCCCCCAGAGCCGCAGGGTAGAGGCAGCCGCAGCGGCAGGACGCCGCGTCCGCCCGGCCTGAGGGCTGCAACCAGGGCCCCCACAGGCAGTGGGAGCCTGGCGAGCCCGGGACAGGGTCGCGCCGCACTCACCTCGGCTGTGGCCGCCGTCGCTTCACCATGGCCSGGGGGAGTCGTCCCCGAGCCGAAAGTCTCCCCCCCAGGAGGGCACCGGCGCGGCTACAGGGGCCGCCGCAAAGCCTCGCACTCCTGAAGGGGATGTGGTCGCTGCGGCGGCGGCGGGGGCTGCTGAGGCCCAGTGCCCGCCCAGCCGCATCGGCTCCCGGGCCGCCGCAGCCACGCGGGTCCCAGGGAGCACCGGTGAGCCGGGCGGGGGGCACAGACTGCAGTGGGACGACCGAGGTGCTGCAGGCGGTGATTCTCCACGAAGCCTCCAGCGTCTCGGCCGCCGCTCCAGCCGCCCGCGCCGCTGGGCCACAGCGCCCCCTGGTCCCCACGTCCCGCTACGGCGCCGGGACTGCGGCTGCCGCGCCGGGCACGAGCGGCAGGGAACGCGAAGGAGCGCGGCCTGGGGGTGGCGGGGGCCCCGCGCGCCCTGCGCCGCCCTCCGTCCGCCCCTGACGACGCTTCCTGAGAGCCGGAAGCCGCGGTTCCCACCAACCCCTTGCGGTCCCCACCCGCGTCAGACCCCAGCACCTTTTCCTTCTCTACAGAAGGTACGTGAGCGCTCTTGTCACTCGAACCCGCACTTGTGAGGCAGTTTCCATGCCTCATTTCTCACAGAAAGAGGGGGTATCCCTTCTAATCCCTTCAGTGTGCCTGGATGAAAGAAGAATGTCCAGAACAAACCTTTTTTTTTTTTTTTTAAACACACAATCTCCTCCCAGAACAGATGAAGGAATTGTTTTTGACCTTAACTCTTTTTGGATCTACCGTACAGATCATCACAGAAATTTCCTACAGGCACCAAACCCTTAACCCCTAGTCCCCCCCCCAAAAAAAAAATAGGGAAAAATATGGTGAACAAGAGAAGAGAATAGCCAACGGCTTGTGCTGAAATTCATAAGCAACTTAAAGGTAAGAAAAGAATCATCCTTTTACTAGTCCCCCTCCCCCACCCTCACCTCTACTCTCCCACCTCTCCACCCGCCATCCCTGCCAAATCCTAGGTAAGGCTCTGAAGGAAATCCCTGTATGCATTAGCGGGGACTATAAAATCATTGTTTACAGATGCCCTGTGTTTGATCCCACTCATCCTCTAAGCCTCTAAGGTGCAAACGTCAGAACCAAAAACAAACAAAAGACTATCAAAATGGAAATAGGGAAAGAAAAATTCTCCAGATCCTCTGGCCTCCAGGTTTTACAAAAAGAGGGTGTGTGTGTGTGTGTGTGTGTGTGTGTGTGTGTGTGTGTGTTTTCTCCACAGTGTGGTATGATAGAATGAGCTGGAACTTTGGTGTCAGATCCTGATATTACCAATCCATTTCCACCATGTATAGCTTTAGGACCATGGCAAGTTATGTAACATTTTGAACCTCAGTTTTCTCCTGCCTGCCTTGCTACTTGTGAAGATTGAAGATGGAGAGATTGGCCTATTAGAAGGTACTCAATAAATGTTAGGTCCAATTTTTGCTGATTTCAGAACACTCTCAGTCTTTTTTAGGCCCAAGATTATGCCCAGCCAGAATTTTTGTTGTTGTTCGTTTTTATCTTTGTGTGTGTGTGTGTGTGTGTGTGTGAGTGAGAGAGAGAGAGAGAGAGAGAGAGAGAGAGAGAGAGATGTGTGCATCATTCATCCTCCCTGGTCTGGGTGAAATTTCACTAACAGATTTATATAACATCCCTCCACTGAAGACCAGAACCTAATGTACTGGATCCTTTGACTTTCTGTTGCAAAGCAGATATCAACATAGAACCAGTATATTTTCTGTATAAAAATATAATAAAGCAGTCTTATCTTACCTTAGGTTATGGCCTAATAATAACAAATCATAATGAAAAAAGTACATAAGGTCTCCAGGAAATGTTCAAATAATAATTGAGCAGCCACCYAGAGAAAATATAACCTAGCAGTTCTCATCTCATCAATGAAAACTGTTCCTATATAGTCCTAGATGTGTCTTCACCACATACCTCTGAGTCACATTACAAAAAAAAATCGCTCTCCCCTTTTTATAACAAGAGAAACTGGGGCTTAGAAGGAAATGGTGATTCATCCTCATAACAACTTCATGAATTAGTAACTATGCTACCACCATTTTACATGTGAAGTTCATCCAACCTAAGGAAAAGCTGGAAGTAACCTGATGTTTTTCTCATCCCCTATTTGATACTCCAACAGTCCTCTTAGCAATATTAATAAAATGCTGCAAGGGTAAGTTACTATTGCTAAAAATTTTTCAGGCTAAAGAAAGGGGTTCTTTAATTTAGATCAGTTTGGCAACCTAACATAAGCACTGTGCTTTCCAAACCTAGATAACTACCACTGCAGGAAATCTGCATTTGTTTATGAATCAATTATGCTACCCAGGGTGTAGCTACTACTTGAAGATGATTCATTTGTTCCCAGGACTAGTTTCCTCTTGCTTCACAATTTCTCCCCTTCTCTTCAAATTCTGTTGCTGATCAAGCCTGACTTTACCATTACCACCACCTCCCTGATCATACTAGTTTACTTAAAATCCTTTTGGTCTACTACAATTTCAGTCCATTATTGGTGGCTCTTCCTACTCAGTTTGCTCCCTGCACCTGAAATACTTCTCATCTGCTTTTCTTCTGTCATAAATCTCCTTTTCATATTAATATCTTGGCCTGCAGTCAATTGACTTGATTACCCTACTCTCAATTTTTCATTGATTTTCATTATTATTCAGTGACTCAAAAATACCTCTTTATTCCCATGCTGTTTGGTCTACCTCCTCACTTTCATTTTTATGCCATAAACATACTTTAGAAAGCCAGTATTCTAAGAATGTTTTTTTCAAGTTAGTTTGAAGTCACCCTTACCAAAATTTTCTTTGCTCTTTAGAAGGTGTTCTTTGGAGCTAGGGTTATGGCTCAGCGGTAGAGTGCTCGCCTCACATGTGGGAGGCCCTCGGTTTGATCCTCAGCACCACATAAAAATAAATAGATAAAATAAAGGTAGAATGTGTTCTTTAAAATTCAGACCAAACCAGACATAGTAGTGCTCATCTGTGATCTTAGCTACTCTGAAGGCTGAGGCAGGAGGATCATTCCACCCCAGGAGTTTGAGGCCAGTGTAGGCGATATAACAAAATCCCATCTCAAAATAAAATAAAATCCAGGCCAAAAAAATATCCATTTCCTGGCTTGGTGAATGGCACCATCATCCTCCCAGTTGCCCAATCCAAAAATCTGTGGTTCCTCCTTTACTCCTGTGTCCTGAACAATAGGCCATGAAGCCTAATAAATTCTGTTTTCTTCCTTTTTAAATTTCTCTCCTCTCCAATTCTACTACTAACTTTGGTCTAGGGTATATGCTAAATTATAGGTGTACTAAAGGAAGAGAGAAAGAGGAATGAATGAATATTGTATTTGTGTACAAGAGTATATAATGTTATAGTGTATATAAAAATTTGTTTAAAGGGAAATGCAGAAGCTCTACCCAATTTATAACTAGTCATCACTACAGTGTTAATATCTATTGACTTGTATGTCTCTCCTACCAGAATGTGAGCCTGTGGGCCAGGTTCAGTATTTGATTCATCTCAGTGTCCTTGGATTAATTCTCAGCCTGGGTACTGTTAAACAGAACTGAACCTCCTTGAGCTAGCTAGCCTGAATCCCAACTGCTGAGTGATTATTTTAGGCTGTTCACCTTAACTTTCAGGACCTACCAAAAATAAGAATCCCCTTCAACTGGTACAATCCAGATCTGAGCCCAGCCTGCTAGCACCAGGTATGATCTCCTGCACCCTTCTGCAGCACCAACACTATCCAGAGTTAAATCCAGAATTTACAGTCTGTTACCAAACAGATGCACCTTAGAGCAGGCCAGAAGTCAGTAAAGCATCCCAAACTTAAAAAGGAACTTGGACATTTAGGAACTTGTTATGTCACTTTAGTCATTAAAAATAATAATAATAATAAAGCAATTCCTGTTCTCGGACTCAAGCATGAAGTAATCAAATATATGAACAAAGGTATATGAAAAAAGACATGTATTTTATGTTTTACTATAGGTTTATAACATGAATATGTGAGGAAAAAACTAAATGAACTAAATTACAATACCTCTACACAAAGAAATATTATGCCTCCATTAACAATGTATTTTAAAGAATTTTAAGTAATAATGAAATCTGTTCATGATTTAATAGCAAAGTAATAAAAACAGATTTAGTAAAAAGACTACTGTATGAACCCAATTGGTTTTTTTATATATTTGTAAAATATATAATTATAATATTTAGAAAAAATAGTCCAAAATGTTACATGTTTCTGGGATTTTTTTTTACTTTTATTTTGAAATTATTTCAGATTTAAAGAAAAGTTGGAAAAATAGTGCCAAATGTTTACCACATACCTTTCACCCATATCTAACCACATTTGCTTTATCAGTCTCTCTCATGCTTACTCAATTTTCTTTTATCTAGATAGACATATCTAGAGGCAATTGTAATTATTTTTTGATCCATTTATCCCTAAATATTTTTCAGTTCCCTCAAAACAGAGTGCAAAAATCACAGTATAATTATCAAAATTAGAAACTTAACCCTGATACAGTACTATGATATAATCTATGACCTTATTCTGATTTTGCCAGTTATATTAGTATTTTTTATAGAAAACAAAAACCAATATTTTTTTGTTCTGGTCTAGAATGCAGTGCATGATTCCATATTATAATTAGTTGTCAAGTTTCTTTAATTTTAATTAATCTGGAGCAGTTTCTCAGTCTTTCTCTTTTATGACCTTGACTTTTTTTAGAGTATAGTTTATATATTTGTAAAATTTCTCCCAATTTGAGTTTATTTCTTTATGATAAGATTCATGGTGTGCATTTTTGGCAGGAATACTACAATACTGATGTGTCCTTCTCAGTGAATTATACCAGAAGACGTGATACCTGTATGTCCCATCAGTGGTGATAGCAACCTTGTTCACTTAATTAAAGTGTAATCTGCCYGGTTTTTCCACCATAAAATAACTATTTTTACCTCCATAATAAATATCTGGGGGGGGGGTTGGTCATTTGAACCTACTCAAAGGCTTTAGCATTTATTGATGATTCTTTTTTTTTTTAAATATTTTTTTAGTTGTCAATGTACCTTTATTTTTTTTTTTATATGTGGTGCTGAGAATTGAACCCAGTGAATCACATATGCTAGGAAGGTGCTTTACCACTAAGCTACAATCCCAGCTCTATTAATGATTCTTACTTGAAACAATTATTGCTATAGTAATTGCCAAATGATAACTTTTTTACTTCCATCATTATCATTTGTCATCCTATTTTTTTATCTTTCTGCTGTATAAGAGATCTTTTTTGTTCTCTATTTATTCATTTATCAATATTTATATCAAAATGAATTCATTGTTTTTATTGTAGTAATTAAATAGTCATTACTACCATTGTTTATATTGAATTGTTTACATGA